GAATTCAAATTTTATAAACAAAATATTCAAAATAATTTAAAGTTTTTTTTGTCTAAATATAAAATAATACGTCACGGCTGAGTTATGCTACTTTGCGGCTGAGTTATGCTACATTACGGATGAGTTGTGATATACATTCTCGAAATTACAAAAAGTAGTTTTTGGGAAAGACCAACAATAATTACGTACACATATTCACACGCATATGCATAATAAAGTCATAGAGTATTATGTTTAAAAAAATATATATTCAAAATAATTCAAAATTTGAATTCAAATTTTCTAAACAAAATAATTCAAAGTTTTGTGTCTGAATATAGAATAATATGTCACAGCTGAGTTATTTACTTTTCAAGGTTGATTAATGACTAAAACTTTAATTTAAAGGGACACTTGAATGTTAACATTAGCACTGCTTATAATAATGTAGAGATTAAATATATTATAATACAATAAAAAAAAATCAATAACAGCTCTTTTACATTCTATATTTGATCAACGGTGTAGGAATAGAACATAAGTATAGGGTTTGGGGTTTATCGTTTTGTTGGATAAGTTTTAAAAGGTACAAACCTGAGCGAATTTCATGATTTTTTATGGAAAGTTAATAAAAGTGTTAACTACATATTATTAAAGTGTTTTTATTACATGAGTGCATCAAATATTCACATCTACCATATTTGAGGTTTGGCCGAGTTATGCCAACGACATGGTTGACTTATTGTAGAATAATTCGAGGTTTGGCCGAGTTATGCCAACGACATAGATGACTTAACGTAAATAAATTTGTGGTTTGGCTGAGTTATGCAAGCGTCATGGTTGACTTACACAGACTATTTCGAAGTTTGGCTGAATTATTGTAACGATATTTTTGTAGCTCATCGTTACATGATGGCTCAACTCATTCAATCTGTAGTCATTGAGAACCAACTTTACAAGCTTTTCGTGTGTTCTTTCAACATCTATCTGCACAACTCTACACCCTCTATCATCGGCGTTAAAATACATATTTGTGTTTTTTACCCAATTACCATAAACAACAATTACTAGAACCAGATCCATCAACGAAAATGAAGAAGAACTCAGGTGAAGAACAAGTGAAGAACTCAGGTGAAGAACAAGTGAAGAACTCAGGTGAAAAAAAAAACAAAGTGTAAAAAGAAAGAAAATCTCATGTTGAAGAGGGCGACCTTTCGTATATCCCTCGTTTATGATGACGTGGAATTGTGTATTTGAAGTCGCAAGTCAGCCACCAAACAAATTTTTAACTCAACCAAAATAAATCAGCCATCAACACAACTTAAATCAGCCACAACATGAAAAATATCTAAGTAATTACTAAAATGTTTTTTAAGATGCCAAATTCAGCCGTAACGTCAATAAGTCAGCTGTAACGTTAAATAAGTCAGCTGTAATTGGAAACTATATTAACAATAAATCTTTTGTCAATAAGTCAGCCGTAACATGGTTGAGTTTTCCGTTAAGTCAGCCAATTACGACTGAGTTATGTCTCTGAATTATAAGTCAGCCGTAACGATATTTGATAACTCAGCCGTTGTCGATAACTCAGCCAACCGGAGAAAGTTAAGTCAGCCGTGTCGATAACATAACTCAGCCAAACTTCTGATAACTCAACCATCGGACTATAACTCAGCCGTAACGGCGGCTGAGTTATTAGCCGTTTTCTCATAACTCAACCAGATTTTTATAAGTCAATCGTAACTGTTGGCTGAGTCTTGATCGTAAGTCAGCCGTTGGCCCGAAACTCAGCCGTTGTCCCAGAACTCAGCCATAACGTGACATAACTCAGCCGTAACGTACGTTATGGCTGAGTTATTGGTGGCACGCGCCTTTTCTTTGACGTGGCAGTGGCATTTCTCGTAATTAGTTTTTTCCGGTAACGTGTAAAAAGAGCACGCTGGTAATTAAAAAACATCTAAGGATAAAAAAAAGTTTTGGTAGGTTTCCGTCAATACACCTAAAATATGGTCTATCTAAATAATTCTTTCTATAAAATTTCATGAAAATATTGAACCAACTCGTTTACATTTAACCAAAATATTTAACCAACCCGTTTTGGATATGCAAACTTTATTTTAATAAGTGAAAGAACCCATCCCATTTTTTTTTAAAAACATGCAAACCAGATTAACCCATTTAAAGCAAACCAATCAACGTAACCAGCGGAAGACTTAGTAAAAATCCAATTAAACAATTCCATTAAACCAACAAGTTCAACCAACATTATTCCAGAATCATAAACATTCTAACATGCTTCTAAATTCCATTCTAACAACCTAACAAATCCTACAATAATCTAAAACACCCATGAGCGCCTAGATCATCCTCCTCTCCTCGTCATGATTCCACGGATCACACTTTACTTTTACCCGCATCAAAGAAAGAGATGCATAAGTATTTCATAAATATTTAGTGAGGCAATCATACCACCACTGACTATACACA